CCGCCGCCGCCCGTGCTGCTAGACACCCTGCGGGGGCCCGGCGGGAGGGGCGCCCGGCGGGGCGCGGGCGGCGTGCCGGCGAGGGCGACCAGGTCGATGCTGAGCCGCGGCCCGAAGCTCGCGCTGCCGTGCTCCGACACAGACCGCGACCGCGACGTGTCCAGGAGCAGCGGCCGCTCGTCTTCCGGCAGGGCCGCCGCCGCCGCCTCCGCCGCCGCCACATCCGCCGCGGCCGCCTTGCTCCGCGCCGCTGCGCCGCCGCCGCCGCCGCCGTTCGTCGCGCCCGCCGCGTCCTCGGGGGCCGCGGCCAGCGCCGCCGCGCGCGACACCTCCGCGGCCCAGTCTATCCGCGACAGCACGGCCGCCTGCACGAGCGCCTGCCCCGAGGTCGTCGCCAGCAGGGCGACCCAGAACCCTAAAACCCCGAGGTGCAGATGGAACCCGAGGAGCACGGCCAAGGGGACGCCGAAAGCCCAGTAGCCGATGACGTTCATGGCGGCCCCCAGGGCCTGGCGGCCGGCGCCGCGGAGCACGCCCTGCAGGACGGCGTTGGTGCCGTCGCCTGAAGGGGGTGGGGGTGGGGAGGGGTGTTTTTAGGTGTGGGGGATACGTGAGTTCCCGGAGCATGTGTCCGCGAGTATGTGTGTGTGTGTGTGTGTGTGTGTGTGTGTGTGTGCGCGCGTGCGCAAGCACGACGCGCTTTTTCCAACGCCTGCAGTGGAAGCGTGCAAGTGCGCACATGCAGGCGTGTGTGAGCAAAAGCTGCCAGCAAGATTGAACCTCTCGCCAGATGTCGGAGCATGCGTTGCGCCGCTGACGCCCCTCACACACTCACCAATCCTCCACTTAACCTCATGGCATGCAAACACACCCCAGCGTGAGCCCAATAGGGTATTGGAGGAAGCCACACTCACCTATAAACGTTACCACCAGCACCGGCATTACGATGAGAGCCAGAGCCTCCACCTGTTCGTTGCTGCTCAGCAGACCTATCACCTGCCGCCGCGCCAAGAAGCACGCCCCCGACTGCGCCGACTGCAGCAGCACCACCGCAGCGGCCGCCACCCAGCAGCTCGCGCGCGCAGAGCGCGCGTTGCCGGCGCCGAGCTCGTTCGCGACGCGCGTGTTTGCGGCGGCGGACAGCGCCATCGCCGACATGTAGGCCACCGCAGACACCTGCGTGGGGGGGGGGGGGCGCGTGGCCGTGCGAGTGGGTGAGCGAGCAACTGTGGGTCTAGGCGGGCGATGGGGGTGAGGAATGGCCACAACCACGCCGGTAAAGATGCGCCGGGAGGCTCCAGAGACGCCCGTTCCGGCGTGCTGCCTGGGCTGCTGGTCGCGCGGCTACTGCCGCCCTTAGCTGACCTCATACACACGCAAAACCCACACACCGTCCATGCCCCCTTTTGACGCGCGAGCGTGCAGGCGTATGAGCGTGCATGTACCTGGAATGCAAGCCCCATCACACCCACGGCGACCTCCGCATTGGGTAGCAAGCCTGCGAAATGGAGAATGCAAGGAGCAACATCAGGACCAAACACGGCTGAGCAAGTGCCCCCTGCTCAAATCAGATGTGTGGCTCATGCGCCCCAAAAAGCAAGGTGTGGCGGCCATGCTGCCGCTCGATGGGGGTGAAGGGCACAGGGGCACGGCGGCTGGGTCAGATGCTGAGCGTGGCCCTTTGGCTACAGGCGCACCTGCCATGAAGATCACAACCTGTGGATGTTGGATTGACAGCATGCAGTGCAGCGAAGAGGGTGTCAGAGGGCGGCATGAGGCTCGAGTGGGCGAGGTCAAACCCCGAACAACAGGACAGCCGGAGCAGTGACCAGCGGGCGGCGCGGCCGCACAAGGGGTGATGCGTGACCCACACACGGCCTTGGCTCACGCGTGCAGTTGCATTGCAGGCGCGTCGAGACATCTTTCCAGCAAGCTGCAGATGCACCCGCCCCCGCCCACTGGCCCCGTGCCCAGCCACGCCTGCCATTCAAGAAGCGCCTGTGCTTTCAGGGCCCATCCCATACGTCCGCATCCAGTGCCCCGACGTTCAAGCCCGGCATGCATGCCGGGCTGGCGTTGTATTAGCCGCAAGCGTCCATCCGGCGTCCGTTTGCTGCCCCCCACTCCGCATCCCAGGCCACCCCACCCTCGAAAAGCGCGCCGAGTCACACAACCTAAACCCCTGGAAGATCGCGCGGAGTCACACAACCTAGACCCCAGGTCACCCTCAAAAAGCGCGCCCCCAGCCCACCTCGTACGTCCACCACTCCGAGCAGACGGCCACCATGGCGGGCACCGCCAGCCCGAGGTACTGCCCCCAACCTCGGAACGCGTCCGAGGTCAGCCCGGTCCAGGTCGCGTCCGGCCGGCGGCGGCGCCGCGCGTCGCGGGCGGCGGTGTAGGCGATCATGAGGGAGGTGGAGGTGAAGGTGCACAGCACAAAGCCGGCCGCGGCGCCATCGAGGCCGAGCTTCATTCTGGGAGGTGTGTGGGTGGGAGGGATGTGCTGCTGAGTTGGCAGTGTCATGGGTGATTCTGTGAGGCTGAGGTGATGGAGGTGTCGACGCGCGCTGAGGCGGTGGTCGCGGGCTCCTCGGATTGCGCCGGCGCCGTCTCGCGAGGTGCAGGGACTGCTGCAATGAGGGGCGGCCGCAGGGCCACCCGCACTCCGGGCGCTGGGCGCCGCGTGCCAGGCGCTGGGCGCTGGGCGCTGGGCGCGCTCACTTGTAGATGGTCAGCCAGTAGAAGACGGGCGCGCAGAGGGTCGTGACGGCGGTGATGACCGTGCCAGGCACCACAACCCTTTGAGCTAGGAGGTACCTGCGGCGGGGGCGACAGAGGGGGCAGGGGGTGACGGAACGGCCCTCGACAACAATGCCAAGCCTTCCCCAGGACTCACCCCTCACAGGCCCCCAGATCAGTTGCAGGCTGGGCGTATGACCAATGTTGATTGACTATCCACCCGCGGGGCAGCCCGGGCGCGTAATCAGCAGGGCAGGCACCAGGTGACGCACGCCGCTCCCAGGTCCCCACCGGCGGCCGCGATGCCGAGCCCTTGCCCTTGCCCCCAACCCCTCCCAAACGCCAGCCGAGCGCGCCCGTGCGCTCACCTCTTGAGGCACTCGCTAATGGCCAGCATGTATATGCAGGGCGACACCTGCAAAAGGTACCTGGCAGCACCCGCCGCGATCGCCTGCGGCTGGCCGAGCCGCAGGATGATGGGCCCCGCGTTGGCCCAGAGCAGCGTGACGGGCGCGCAGACCAGCAGGCAGATCGCCACCGCGCGCTGCAGCACGGTGCCCAGCATCGCGTGGTTGCCTGTCGCACGGACGCGTTTTAACGGGAAGCAGAGACGGAGGCAAGGTGTGGGGCGCAGGGGTGGGGCGGTTGCTCGTGGGCCAGGAGGGAATGGGCATGCGGCGCCGGCCGCTGCGCGTCGCAGCCGCACGTACCCAGCTGGACCACGTGTTGCCGAGCCGCAGGCCGGCAGCTGCACCCTTTGGAGGCGCGCCCAAGGCCTCACCCGCGCCCATGCCCTGGCCGCAGAACGTCTCCATGCCGGCGCTCAGGCCTGATATGATGCTCTGGGGTTAGGGGCGGAGGGGGCACATTGGGGGGCAGGCGCGGCAAGGGGAGCGATAGCTGTGTGGGGTGAGGCTGCGACCGGGAGGAGCGCCGCTGCGGTGCCGGGCTCAGCCGCGGTTGCCCCTCAATTTTCTGGGCTCGCCTCGCTGTGACCGCCGCTGACGCTGCAGGCTGATGCCAGCACCAACTCGTGTCATTTGCGACAGGCACCCTGGACCGCACGGCTGGCGGGCCATGGGGCCCAACTGCAGGTCGCGTGCCTGCAGAGCCCATCTGTCGGCTGCAACAGTGCCTTTTGGCGTAGGAATGGGAGGCCTCAAGCCTGAGGCCTTTCCCCAAGACGGACCAGCCCGTGCAGCTGCAGGGCAGCTTCCCCCGCAACCCACCGCGCCGGTGACGTTGAATAGTGACGTGGCCAGCACCACTTGCGAGAGCGCGAGGGGGTCGTTCATGTGGCCCACGAATGCGATGGCGATGAGGCCCAGGAGAATCTGATATGATAAGGATGTAAGGGCAACTGAGACGTCAAAGGCAAGCTTGGATCCAAGGCATGCAATCGCCGTTGAATCGACATGCTTCGGGACAGCAGCAGGCGCTTGGGAAGATTCGACACGGGTGCCTTCTTGCCCCAGCCGGGCGCGCCCACCGCCGAGGGCGCGCGCCCGAGCCGCGCGGTGCCGCACCTGCGCAAAGTTCTGGGCCCACAAGGGTATCGCCATCTGCGCGAGCTGGCGGGCCGCGCGGGCGGACTCCTCCCAGCCAGACGGCGTGGCGGGCGCCATTGCGCCGTGCTCGCTGCGTGGGCGTGACGAAGAGATCACATCAGCGCAGGCGGCTGCCGCACCCTGCTGAGGATGATTCCTTGCTGGGCAGCTGCTACACCACCAGCGTGCGACACATGTTTGAGGGGACTTGAATTGGGAGCCCGTGTGCTCTTGTGGCGATGGCGCGCACAACGCGCCGCCTGTGGCGCACCAATTTGAAACCCGGCTCGCTGCTGCATAGCAGGCACACGGTCCGGTTAATGCGCATGTTTCGTGACGCTCATGCAAGGATCATACCTGTGCTCACGAGCCCCGCGTCCCTCGACACCCATAATCTCTTGGCGCCGCGATCATAAGGGTTACCGTACTATTACTTGTACCACTACACAACCTGCACGCTAATGCTATTATAACACAATTGAACCCCCTGGGAGGCTGAATTACCCCGGCGTCCGCTGCCGGCGCAACGATCGCCCAGCCCTCCCACTGCTTGTGCTGCACCCTGCTAGGGCATCTTTGACAGGATCACGCAGAGCCTGCGCACAACAGGTACTGAAGCACTCGGCCATCATATTTTGGCCGCCCTCAACTACACAACGCATGGGATGGAGGGGTGCTTGCCCAACTGGACAGCTCGGACATGGGACGGCGAACTGCACTGCGGCGGCAGGCTCGGACAGGGTGGCTGAGGACACGCTGTTGAGTGTCGTCTGTGCAAAACCGAAAATGCGGGAAGTTTCCAGCCAGGTGACGTATCTGATTCGGCAGTGGTCACAACCACTCAATAGCTGGTTATTCTGTAGAGCAACATGAAGGGAACGTTGTGCACCCCGCAATTGTTGCCGCGCCGCGACCTACCGGTCGCCTTCGTTTCGAGCGACGCGATTGTGTATTGCCGCCCCGCTATCGCCTGACATATGACGGCCCGAGACGCCCCCCGCACCACCCCTCAGACCTCACCATGCGCCGCCCATACAAACCCCCTGGCCGCATGTGCTCGTGACCCACGAGTGCTGCGTATCGCGCTCCGCGAAACCCGGCCCGCCCTGACAAGTCGCCCGACACGGCACATTAACTACTAAAAACCTGGCGTCCCCCATCCAAGCGGTCCCCCTGCAGCTCCGATGCGTTTGCATTCAAACCCCAGGGTTACGCCCCGCCACCCAGCACCCCTGACTGTCGATTCCAACGCTTCACATCGCCGGTTGATCAACTTGGGAAAAGGTTACACGCCAATTGCACACAGTGCGTTGGGGCTGTGCGCCTTCACCGCGGCCCCGCCGGCAGCCCCAGCACCGCGCGCACCGCCAGCGAGAAGCCGCCCTCCCTGAAGCCCGGCAGGACGCCGCCCGACGCGGCGAATTTTGAGACCATGAATCCGACCTGCCGCACGCGGCCCCCCGTCAGCGGCGGCTGCCCGCCCACGACGCGGCCCCGCAGGTTTGGGAGGAATTCCGAGAAGGGGATGTCGATTGTCTGCCATGCGCCAGGGGGCTGCGGGGTGGTTTCGAAGTCGGCCTGGTATGCGACGCCGTCCCACGTGTCGTCAGCCTGCAGAGTCGGGACGAGGAAATACAGCGTCATGACACAGCATCTGGGGTCATCCGGTGCTTCGCATCGCTGCGCATGGCACCTGCGTCATCTGGTTGGGTTGTCAGTCATAGGCCGCGGCCAGCGGCAGAGCCGTTGAGCAGCGGCAGAGCGCTGCGGTGGCAGCGGACGCCGACGAGTTCCCGCCGCAGCAGCGGCGACGGCTGACCTCCAGCATCGGCAGGCGCCCAGCTTGACACGGCCACAGTCATGCCGCCAATACCCCCGCCCCCCCACCTCGATGCACGGCCACCCACCTTGACATTTAGCTTGTACGTCCGCCCGTCCCCGCGCACTAACAGCCGCACGCCGGCCCCGCGCCTGAGCTCCGCCCAGCCCGCCCAGGGCAGCGAGCGCACGCTGGCAAACCCGCCGTTAAACGCCGAAGTCACGTTGCCTATCAAGGTGGATGGGAAGCCACACGCTGCCGTGTCACGCAGGCGCATATTTTCTGGTACAACAACATGCCAGCATGCGCCATGGATGGGTCCAAGACTGCAGCTGCTCTTGTGATCAGATCAAAGGCCCCCTGCCACCCCTTGTGGTGTTTTGGGCCCCAGCCGCGGCCCGCCCCCGCCCCAACTCACCGCCGAAAACGATGGCTTTCGCCTCCGGGTCGTATGTGATGCCGCTGCTGCTGGCGCCGCCCATCACGGCGTCGTCCAACGCCTGCGGCGTGTCACCATATTGCACGCCGTCCCATCAGCCAACAGCACGCGAGCTCGTGCGCAACGGCCATTAGCCACGCTTGCTTGTAATGCCATTCCAATCAGTGCCAGAGGCCTCCGTCTCCCTCAGCTGCGAGCCAGGGGCTGCCATCCCCCTGCCCTGAGGCAGCCCTCGGCGCTTCCGTTGCTGGAGCGCATCGCCCCCAGCTGTCAAGGAACCAGAAACACGTTTGATCTGCCTCTCGCGGGCGCACGCGCACCTGCCACCGCGGAACGTCCTGTGGCAGGCCGTCGGAGCAGTCCAGGACCGGGAAACAGTCCGTAGCGCCTTCGGGAACGGGATCATCCAGACCGCCAATCTGCGACGCCGCGTCCAGGCGTCCCTCTGTGCAATTGACCCGGGCGGTGCAGCCGTGGCAGGGTTCGAGGGCGGCGTGGGCGGCCAGGTATAGGGAGCGGCCTCGTGCTTGCTGTGTGGGGGGCGGGGCCCCGCTGCGCCACCAATCAGTCACAAACAAGCGGCGCCCTGACGCCTCGCCCGCAGCCCCGCATGCGGCTGCGGTCGCGCCTGCCTGCCAGTGTCAGCGAGGCCCGGGCCGCCGCTGTCACAGACGCGCGGGCACCGGCGCACCCATAATGACGTCAAACGCGCGCCTCAGGTCCCACGCCGCGGCGGGCGGGTCAGGCCTGTCGGCCGCCTGAATCAGGGCAGCCCTGGCGGGGAGAGGGGGCAGGCGGGCAACGAGCGTTCTAGGCATGTCCTGGCGCAAGGCAGGCCGTCCGGGGCATGGCATGGCGTGCAGCAGTGGGAGCGCGGAAGTTGATGGTCACCCGCGCCCGCTGGTCCCGGGCCCCGGATCCGCTCGCCTGAGGAGCTCTGCGGCAGGAGGAGGGGTCTCGGGGCTGGCCGCCAGCCGCTGCGCGGCGCCCCTGTACACTGAGTAGCAGTCGGCGGGGCGCCCGCGGTTGTAAAGCGGCGCCCCGACTGAAATGGCTGCCACGATCTCCGCTTTGAGGGCGGCGGTGGAGGTGGCCGCGACGGACCCTCCGCCGCCACCGGTGGCGGCGGCGCGTGTAATTGTGGCGTCCGGTCGAATGAGGGGGCGGCAGGCCAGCCGCCCGAAGGCTCGCTGGGTGGGTGCGAGGCGCATCAACGGCGGCGTGACTTGGTTGTGGTGCAGGCGGGGTGCCAATGGTAGGCCGTGCTGCGGTCCCTCTTTCGTGTTCCAGACGTGGGGCTGCAGGACACCACAGGGCTCCTGCCGCAAGCGGCACACACTGCAGGTCGGCGCCACAGTCAAAGGTTCAAGTGACCGAAGCGCTCTACAGAAACATGGTCATTTGAGTGATTTCAGGTTGTGAAGCGTGCGCGTCTAGCACCTAAATCGGTAGTTGGCACTTGAGTGAGCGCTGATGACGGTAAACGCGCACTTGATTGCAGCCGGCCAGTGCGCGTTGAGCATTTACACAGATGCGCAGTTCACTCTAATTGCACGGCTCTCTCACGCACTCGATCAGGCCCGCTTGAATCGTTCAACCAGCAACAGATCGTCCCTGCCCAGCGCAGCTCAGCACAGCTTGAAAGATGGCTATCGCGGCGACGTTCTCCCTGTTCTACACCATTCTCTTGTGAGCGCGGTTGCTAGTTGGCGCGGGGTGCTGATGGCCCTAACCTGCGCGGGACACGGGACGGCGTGGGCACAGGCGCACTGTCGTGTGTTTGATAGACTCAGTGGCATGCCGTCATTTGGCCGGTCGTCGCGATCACGCCGGGCGATGATGTGGCCAACACATTCACTCTCCGCGTGCACAAAGCTCGGCCCCAACGTCGGATGTGGTTGGCATTTTAGAGGCATGCAGTGTTCAAGTTTGGTGGCCGCTTGCTGCACATGGCGACCGATCGGCGCTGCACGACCGCCTAGCCCACCTGCCCGGCGTGCCCAGCACCCCGCCTGCCGAAGCAGTGAGCGCGCGCACTTGCACTCACGTCGCCATGCGTGCGGCGTCGCGCGACCTTACCCTCCCTGCCATGCAGCGGATCCTTTGCATATGCCATCCCGGCGTACAGCACCTTCAAGGCCGTAGAGAAGAAGGGCGGCGAGGACGTGCGGGAGTGGGCACAGTACTGGTGAGCTGGCGGCCCCGGCGAGCCAGCAGCTCCCATCCCGCACAGCCCCTCATGCTTTCACCGCCCGCGCGACCTATGGTCTTGCCACCCATAGGGCACGTTGATCAATGTCTTGACTGCCTCGCCGGCCCCGCGGCGCCATTCGCAGCGCACCGCTGCGCCCCGGCCCTGGCCCAGCATGCCATCGGCCCTCGGCCGCCGCCGGCGCCGCCGCCGCCCCCTCGCCGCCCCCCGCAGGGTGATCTTCGCGGTATTCATCCTGTCGCAGTGGCTGGTCGACTTCCTCCTCTGCTGGTGCGCAAACCCCCTCCCCCCTGCCAAGCGTAACCCTCGTGCGTCGCGGCAGCGGCCCTGGCCTCATCCCCTGCCAAACTCCTTTGCACGTGCACCAACAAGAGCGCCTTCACCCCATGCACAACCCCCCCAGGCTGCCTTTCTACTACATCGCCAAGCTGGGCTTCCTTGTCGCCCTCTGGCACCCCTCCACCAAGCTGGCATCATCCATCTACGCCAAGGCCTTCGCCCCCCTCGTCTCGAGGTGCGCCCCAACCGCACGCCTTCCGGGCCGCGCGCCGCACGGGACCGACACCGCAGGGCAGGCGCTCGCAGCGGTTTTCAGGAGGTGGACGCGGGGGCGGCCGGCGCCGGCAGGCGTCTGGGCGGCCGGGGCATGCATACGGCGTGCTAGTCGCGGGGTGGACGTGCGCGCCGCGAGCGGACGCGCGCAGCAACGGGCCGCGCCGCGCTGGGGCCTGCTGTGCCCACAGCCC